CAAAAAAAAAAAAAAAAAAAAAAAAACCCTGAAAGAAAATTATGTTATGCAGAAAAATAAACCGAACAACTTTTGCCTCAGGGTCTCATCGAAATTCTTTACCAAATTTAAAATCAGAAATAAATAAAAAACATTTATATTTTTATATTATTTTTACTGCTTTTGGCCCGGCCGGGCAAGTGGTCCCAGGCCACTCTGGTAGCCTAGGTAATTTAGTAATAATGGCTGGATTGAGTCACCTGCTGACTGGCGGCAGGCGTCGTTAAAGGGGTGATAAAGGGGAAAAGAAAAATGGAAAAAAAAAGGGTCATGTACTTGTGGCTGAACAACCAGAGAGATTGGTCGACTTATAAGTTCTTTTTTTTTTTTAATAATTCTTTTTAAGTTCGACTTTTGGTGGGGAATCCATTTCCATTTTGGCGCGTTAGACTCATTTTTGTTTTTCTTAATAATTTTCCCGGCTTTTGGTGGTGAATGTATTTCCGTTTTGGTTTAGGGTTTATTTTCAGTTTTTTTTTTTTTAATTTCTAATTTTAATTTTTTAAAAAGAAACAGTTTATTGCCTCCTCTCCGATCCCATCTCTTTTCGGCGGGCTGTCGATTTCCATTTTGCCGTGCGTGTTGGGTTCCTTTTCTTTTTTTTTTCGCGGGCGATTGATTTTTTTTTTTATAAACGGGAAATAATTTTCGCCCTCGCCGCCATTGTCAAAATAGTCCCTTAAAAAAGAAGAAGAAAAAAGCCTGTCAATCGATTGATAAGTCAGCGATACCACAAATAATTACACATAATAATAATCATAATAATAATAATTAAAAAAAAAAAAAAAAAACACTGCGATGACAGACAAGGTGATTTCCAGCCTGCGGGCTGGGATTAAGTCAGCGGCAAGGGAGGGGAATTCCAAGGAGCAGAGGAGATTACTGAATCTCCTAGGTCACACTTTGAAGAAGAAAGGACACTACATAGAAGCGAGAGTGGCCTTTCGAGACGATTTTCATTTAACAGAGAAAAAATTCGATGAAGGACAGGCTGACGTGTCGGAACTGATGGCCAGTATACAATGTATGGGCGAAATAAACTTCGCGTTGGAGGAATACCAAGAAGCGCTCCAGTGGCAGGTAAGGACCACATCTCTCTCTCTCTCTCTCTCTCTCTCTCTCTCTCTCTCTCTCTCTCTCTCTCGCTCTCGCTCTAAATTCTTGTTGAAGTGAAGGGCCAGATGTCTCACTTTGTCACTGTCTCTGTCTCTGTCTCTGTCTCTCTCTCTCTCTAAATTTTTACTGTAGTAAATTTGCCAATGTTTTTCGAAGTAAATTTCCCAATGCTTCTCGTCGCACTCCTCGGAAGAAGTTCCAGCATGGAATACCACCTACTGTGGAGGGGATCTCTCTCTCTCTCTCTCTCTAAATTACTGTAGTAAAGGACTAGAGCTCTCTCTCTCTCTCTCTCTATTACGGCAAGCAATACCGCGCACTGTGGGGAGAGAGAGAGAGAGAGAGAGAGAGAGAGAGAGAGAGAGAGAGAGAGAGAGAGAGAGAGAGAGAGAGAGCAGACTGCTGCGATACGGTTTGTCAATCCACATTTTCCCACAGACTCTCCCAGACCACCCTCTCCCACGCCGCATTCTTCCACTACACGCTCTCCGACCCCGCACTCTCCCGCGCTCTCCCATCCAGTACTCTCGTGCATCCCCCCACTCCTCCCGCACTCTTCCGCACTCTCCCATCCCGCACTTTTCCATCCCGTACTCCCCCGCTCTCTCGCGCATTCTCCCATCCCACCCTCTCCCACACCCGCCCATCTCTTCCCGCACTCTCCCATCCCGTATTCTCCCCCACTCTCCGAACCTGCACCCGGAAAGCCGGCGTTATGTTGAATGGTTGCATTCAGCTAAGTGTGCTGATGACACAGGCTGCATTCAACTCTTAGCTGCAAGACAAAGGTTACAAATAAGACCAGAGTAGGTAGTCTGTCTGAGTGCTTTTCTTCGAGTAATCGGCTATGTTGGTTTCTATTCTTGCCAGGCAGAACCTCGATGCTCAGTGCTAAGCTGTGTGTGTGTGTGTGTGTGTGTGTGTGTGTGTGTGTGTGTGTGTTTAGTGTGTGTGTTTAGTGTGTGTGTGTGTGTGTGTGTGTGTGCGTGGTCCCCCATTCTGGTCGCAAGACTAACGAACGCAATTCGCGAATGTGTGTGTGTGTGTGTGTGCCGTGTTCCGTGCATACACCACAAGAGAGGCATGACTCTGCCAGATTGTTTCGTTGGACTTTCACCGACTTCACACGAGGTTGTGTGTGTGTGTGTGTGTGTGTGTGTGTGTGTGTCCCTGTTGGGTTGTTGATAGTACAAACATTACGAGCTAGCGGACCATTTGGGCGACGTTGAAGAGAAAGAGAGGGCTCTGACGCAACTTGGAAGGACTCACTTGGAGCTGTACGAAAGTCACAGGGATGAGGCAGAAGGCGTGGAGTACCTGGAATCCGCTGACGTGTTTTTCACGCGCTCCCTTACGCTGTGCAAGGACCACATTGAGGACGACAGGGATGAGCATCTGGGCAATGCGTACAACAACTTGGGCCTGGTCGAACTACTCAAAGGTAACTTGCAAAAGGCCAAGCAACTGCTCAACAAGGCGCTTGTCCACTGCAGTGCCTGTTCCACTCGACCCAATGCCATGGAGCCTCTCTCCAGAGTTTTCAACAGTCTGGGCCAGCTGTACGCAGCCGAGGGCAATCATGAGATGGCTCTCGACAGCATGCGTAACGACAAGGCAATCTGCAAGCAGATCGGTCACGTTCAGGGAGAAGCCAAAGCTTGTCTGAACATAGGCCAGCTTCACTGCGAATTCGACCACTTCGACGAGGCCATCGCCAGCTTCGAGGAGGCGCTCCTACTAGCCAGATCCCTACGAGACGAGACCTTCCTCATCAAGTCCGTCGAGGAGGACCTCAAACTGGCCTTGTTGCTGAAAAAGGGAGAAGAAGACCTCAAGGCTGGACAAGCCGAGCTGGCGAACTTAGAAAAAATGAGACCTGACGAAGCAAGATGGGGTGGTGGTGGTGGTGGGGGTGGTGGCCGAGGTGTTGACGTCAACAGCGTGCAATGTGAGCGAAAGCTTTTGCTGAAACTGGTGACTTGTGCAGAGAATCTGGAGCGCTGGGAACAGGTCTGTGGTTGATGATCGATGATCCCCTTCCGAATTGAACAGTTTGTTTTGGTTTTTTTTGGTTACTTTTAAGTTGTTTTTTCCTTTTGTGGGAGCCGGGGGGGCGGAGGAGGGTTGGGGGATTGGGAAGATATGGGCTGACGCCCTTTTCACATTGATATGCGGACTCTTGGGATGGTTTTGTTTGTATCTTTTGAACTAGGCTACCAGGCGGGGCGCCCGGGTCCCAGGTGGCCAGCCCGTGCAAGGACCAGGGAAGGTCCCAGCAAAAAAAAAAAAAAAAAAAAAAAAAAAAACGAAATCCAAAAAATCCGAAAAAAAACTATGTTATGCAGAAAAATAAACTGAACAACTTTTGCCTCAGGGTCGCATCGGAATTCTCCACCAAATTTAGAATTTTTTTTTTTTTTTTTTTTTTGGCCTGGCCGGGCAAGTGACCCCGGGCCACTCTGGTAGCCTAGCTTTTGAAGGGTGCTCTTTTGATTCTTTCGAGTCATCTTTTTGAGGGCGTACTCAGTCTAGCACTATCTTAAATGTATCCAACCTCATTTACGGCTGGATCTGGATGTATCTGGCCGCAATTACATCCAGAACTAAGTATTACACCCAGTGTGAGTATGCCCTGAGTCGTACTCGCGGGTGAAATCTTGTGCATGTGGCGAATTGCGAAATGTGACTTGCTGACTCTGGGCCTAGTTGCACACACTTGCCATTCGTCAACATTTTGAATGCATCTGGACATCATGTCTGTTGAGATGCATCAAAATTGTTCGCCAATGGCGAGTGGTGCAGCTAGGGCCCTCTACTCGCAGCTTGCTTGGCAACCATGCACGTTTTGGCTCAGATACCTCCTTTGCGTACTCTATTATGATCCCCTTCACATTTCCATCCTTTTTCTTTTTAGGTGGGGGGGGGGGGGGGGGGGGGGGGGGGGGGGGGAGGAGATGGCTTTGAGGTGTCATCATGAAACTGACCCACCTCAGGTAATTCAGTGTCATTTTTGTTCATCTGATTCTCCAATCAGGGTTCGAACTCAGGTCTTGTTTTCAACAGTTAGTTATTACATGGGTGTACCATTCTGAAAGGGTTTCGCACAGTCAGTCCCGGAAGTCCCGGTCCCAAGGTCCCAGTTGGTCCCGGTCCCAGGATGTCCCGGTAGTAGGGCAGGTCGTAGGGTCTGTAGGTCGAAAGCGTCGTATAGGTCGGTAGGCTGCGGTGCCAAAACGTTTTCGACACCGCAGCCTACCGACCTATACGACGCTTTCGACCTACGGACCCTACGACCTACCCTACTACCGGGACAGCCTGGGACCGGGACCAACTGGGACCTTGGGACCGGGACTTCGGGGACTGACTGTGTGAGACCCTTTCAGAATGGTACACCCATGTAATAACTAACTGTTGAAAACAAGACCTGAGTTCGAACCCTGATTGGAGAATCAGATGAACAAAAATGACACTGAATTACCTGAGGTGGGTCAGTTTCATGATGACACCTCAAAGCCATCTCCTCGGGGACTGACTGTCTGAAATCCTTTCAATTCAACCACATCATGGGCTGGGTACAAAATCCATCCTTTGTCTTTCAATCCCCTGAAACTGAGGAAATGGGCTTGAGTTCTAGAAGTCCTTTGTCCTCCTTCCCTTTTCGAAGACTATGCCCTCTTTTGTATGACCGATGCCTCCTTCGCATGCCGTGTGTCGTTGTCCTTTTCTGTGTGTAGATGAAGGCATTGGCCAGCAAGTTGGTTGATTTGGAGAGAGCAGTTGGCGACAAGTCAGGACTTTGCGACGGGCTATCTTTGTTAGGCATCGCTTATGAAGAATTGGGGAGTTACAAAGAAGCTGTCAAGTGTCACAAGGACACTCTTTGGTTAGCAAGACAGATTGGATCCATTGAGGTGAGTACTTAGAAGAGAGGCAGGCAATGAACCTGGGGCAAATAGTGGTGCTACGTTCATGCGAAGAAAGCAAGAACCTGGTCGATTTTGGAGTACCACCCCCTGCGATTGTACCCCGCCGATTCCGAATAGAATGCGCGGTCGTTATGGCTCTCTGTATTCGGGGGCAACTTTCAGTTTACTAGATACATCTCGGGGAGTTCTATTCAGGTGTGAAGACGGTAAGTTTCTTACTTTCCGAAAATGCAATGAACCCGGCCCCGATGGTGGGTTATATTCAGGTGAAGACGGTAGGTTCGTATTTTCCGAAAAAGCACGAACATAGCTCACTGCCAGTGGAATCCTGACCCAAATTCGCTTTCTCTTGCAAGTCGCAGGCTGCAGCAGATTTTTGGCTCTTTTATCTTTTTTTTTTTTTTTCATCCTTGCGCAGGGGCCATGCTAATCTTCTCTGTATCGTTCCAATTTTAACAGATTATAATTTTCTAAGCTTTTTTTTTTTTTTTTTTTTGGCCATTTATCGAACTGCGATCAGTGCGATGTCTCAATGTGGCTACACCGGTGGTTTGTCGATATCGACCATACTGTTAGTGTGATGTTCGAGGTGGTGCGTGTTCCCTTCTTTTTTTTTTTTTTGTCTTTTTCACCAGGAGATCAAGAAGCTATGTTCATGCTTGGAAAGCATGAACCTAGTCCTAAGAATGTCCAGGTGCTTGCTTTCGGGGCATGAACATAGCGCTGTGGTAGGGGTTACCAATGTCAGCGCCAATGACTGTGCCCTGGTGTGTAGGTGGCACTTGTTTTCTGAAGGGATTGCTTTTTTGTGCCTTTTCATAACGATTTATTTAATATTTATAGGTTTTCTTACTGTTTCACTGAGCACGGCAGGGGCTTCTACAGAGTCTGTCGGGACAACTACCTTCTTCCCCCGAATACAACGTACGGTCATTATAGCTCTGCATTTGGCACAACTTTCAGTCTAGATACGCGGCTATAATGACTGTACGTTGTATTCGGGGGTAGAGTCTGTGTTTGTCTATCAAGCATGTGGAATTGAAGTGCAGCAGAATGAGCTAGTCTACTTCCACATGCTAGATAAACATGCCAAAAATAGACATGCTACAGTCTTCCCCCAAATACAACGTACGGTCGCTATAGCTGAATTTAGACCGAAAGATCCACCAAATTCAGCTATAATGACTGTACGTTGTATTCGGGGGAAGACTGTAGATAGACATGCCAAGTATAGACATGACAAGCATGTGGAATTTGAAGTGCAGAAGAATGAGTTAGTCTATTTCCACATGCTAGATAAACATGCCAAGTATAGACATGCCAAGTATAGCCATGCTAGATAGACATAAGCTACTACTCTATAGACACAGCTACTCCAGTGTTAGTCTACTGTTGGTCTACTGTTAGTCTATTGTTTCTCCTCTTATTATCTGTTTCAGGGAACAAAAAGTTAGTCTACGTGGACGTTTTTTTTTTTTTTTTTTTTTTTTTTGCGATAAAATAGGTCAAGGGAGGAGGGGGGAGGGAGGAGGAGGGTTTAGGGTTCACAGAACTTGAGGCTCTTCAGAGAACCTCTGGGTGGTTGCTACAGTGACAAGTTGCGATACAAGGCATACATGCAATCGATAGTCACACCACCAATCATGTACGCCACAGTACACAATGTACACTGGTGGGTGCAAAATGATTGCCATACGCCGGTGGGTATGGCACCCCGACTGGTTTGGACTGCCGCCACGCGGTCTTCTTCAGGGGAAACAGCCTGCTTCAGCCCTCATCTTTTCCGTCGTTCCATCTCACCCACCTCACCTCCGCCGACTAACCCGCTAACACTTCCGGAGATGCTTCCTTCTTCCCCCGAATACAACGTACGGTCATTATAGCTGTATCTAGACTGAAAGATGCCTCAAATACAGCTATAATGACCGGTCGTTCTATTCGGGTGAAGATGGTAGCAGATAACACGGCGTTAGATGACTCTCCATAAATGTCCTTCTCTGGTGAGGGGGCAGTTGAGGGTGCAAAGAAGAAGAGGAAGAGCAGTAGGAGGAGAAGGAGAGAGGAGTGCTTAGGATTCCGAGAGCTTCAGGCTCCGGGTAGTCGTAGATGACTGATCACGGTAGTCGTGGATGACTGATCACGACTCTCAATAAATGTGCCTCTCTTGTGAGGGCTGTTGAGCTGCAGGCAGTTGAGGGTGCAAAGAAGAAGAGGAAGAGCAGGAGGAGGAGAAGGAGAAGGAGGGATATGAGACTATGACTCCGGAGAAGGAGGGATATGAGACTATGACTCCCTCCCTCGCTCTCTCAGAATCAGGCTGCGAATGGAGCTCTGGCTGATATTTTTTGCTGTTAACAAATCTTCTGCTAATGCTCCATGCCCATTCGATGGCCGAAAGAGAGCAGCAGCACAAGAAGAAAGAGAAAAGCTTGAAAGGCAAGGGGGGGGCAGCAGGGCAAAAAAAAAAAAAATGAAAGACGAACAGTGCAGTCGTGAAAAGGAAGCAAATGGCGGCGGCATAAAATAGGGTGCGGAGCAGTATTCTATTTTTTGCAGGGGAGGGAAAGATTCTGATGAAGAAAAAGAGGGAGGGAAGGGGGGGCAATAAGGAACCATGCAACAAGAACACCGATAAACCAGATTGCGACGACATCTCACAGAAGACCAGACATGATCGGGCCTAGTTGAAAGCAGGAAAAAAGAAAAGAACAAAGCGAAATTCACACCAAATAGGAGCGAACGGTACACCAAAGTCTCTTGAGAAAGGAAGCCCTTCCTTCGCCTCCAATCATCAAAACGACTTCATCAACACCAGGTAAGCGCCGTCGGTCCCCACTGCCATCAATGTGATAGCCCTACTCTCGACCTGACTGGCCTTTCCGACTTCTTGGCTTCTATCAGACTATGTAGCCTATCCACATGGCAACACTCTGTCCAGGTGTCAATTGCCCGTCCACGTGTCAATTGCCCAATGCTGTTTGGAGACTCTGCTCACACAGACTGACTTCATCAACACCAGGTAAGCGCCGTCGGTCCCCACTGCCTTCCTTCTCCTGCGGACCTCTACACTTCACCACTCAGCAACGCTGCGCCCACCGAGGTATGGCCGGCGCCTTCTTCCGCGCTGCCACCGCAGCAGTTTCTGCTTCCATCCACGGGCACAGCGCTCAGCTGCCGCACAAGCAGCCTGTGCATTGGCACAATGCCTGCATGTGCTGGCTCGACTGCGCGGCCTCCCTTCCTCTTGTGCTGCTTCTGGAGGCCGCGTGCAGTCCCCGCAGGCAAGGCCTGGGCCTACTGGGTCTGCACCCTAGGCCTTGCCTGCGGGCCCTGCACGCGGCCTCCAGAAGGCCCAGGCTATGTTCATACCCCGAAAGCAGGCACCTGGACATTCTTAGGACTAGGTTCATGCTTTCCAAGCACGAACATAGCTTCTTGATCTCCTGGTGAAACTCTGTAACTATCCCAGTGGTTGGACCTACCGGTTAGCTACAGGCGCTGACCTGCAGCGTGGCTTGGGGCCCTCACACCCGCCTTCACTTAGCGCCGGCTTGAGTATTCCTGGCCCGCCTTCAGTAGGGCCTTTTTTTCAGCAGGGCCGAGGGCCCTGGACCCGCACAATCTTCTGATTCTATCAGAATTCAAACTCAGGTCTGCCTGTCGACAGTTCAATGGTGTACCATTCCATTCAGCCACATGGGTTTGGTGCTCTCCTTGATTGCCTTAGAGCGTCCACGGGGTCCCTTTGGAATTCCTAAGCACACAAGGGGTTTTAACTGGTAGCCCCACGTTTTGGTGCCTGGGTTATTAACGACCTTATCGCCCCCCCTGAATAATAGTGTTTGAGGGGCTTAATGTTTCCGGTGGCCGGTTCTCCCCTTAATAAATAGTGTTTGAGGGGTTCATTGTCTGTTTTTTGTGCGCAAAAAAGAAGCATTGGCGGCATGGTACACACCTGTCTCTTATACACATCTAGATGTGTATAAGAGACAGCACACACACACATGTATATCATTATTATCATATGGACTATGAAATATGTATCATAATATATGTATACATATGTATATGTGCAAGTGTGCCGCGTCAACAGCACACGGGTGTGTGGGCACTTGGCGCTGAGCCACACAAACGTGGACAACCTTGCATTTTTACTATCGTGCCTATCTCTACTTTTTTGTCTTATGGTTTAGGGTTTATGATGATTTTTGGAGGGAATAAGAGAGAGAGAATCTGGGGTTCCTTTAAAGTTCAAACACACACACATTCTAGACTCTAGAGTAGTCTGTTCCAGCGGTGAGTGTTTAGAATTCTGCGAAGTTCGTCATACACCTCTCCCCTGCCCATTGCATGTCATACTCTATCCTGCCCTTCACAAGTTTCTTTCCTGCCGTTTACCCTCCACCTCCCCCTACCCCACACTCCTATAGAACTCCACTTTCTATCCCTTTCCCTCCACCTCCCCTCCACCCTCCCCTTTTGTGCTACTAGCGAATACATACGAATGAGCATCGTTGAGAGAACAGATGATATGAAGATCGGAAGTGAAATGAATGGAAGTATGAAGATGAAGGGCAGACACAAAAACTAAGTATAAGCTGAAGATCTGAAGTGAATCGGAAGTGAAATGAATGGAAGTATGAAGATGAATGGCAGACACAAAAACTAAGTATAAGCTGAAGATCTGAAGTGAAATAAGCACTAATATGAAGATCTGAAGAGAAATGCACAGGAGCATACCTTCCCTTTTACTCTGCCTCCTGTTATAACGTGCAAGTGGGCCGTTAAGGCACATGGGAAGAAACCCCAGCTAAACACAGTTGTAAACACTTCTATTATGATTCATGTTGGTTTCTAAAGAGGTGAAATTCTTTAGTTGTTGAGCTGGCTCAACTCGTATCTACTTGTCTGGATGGAATAGGGGCTGTTGTCGTGCAATTTTTAAACACACACACACACACACACACACACACACACACATTACCTCCTGAGCTTGCTCCTTGCTCCTGCTCCACCTTCTCTTACTCTTCCTTCTCATCCATTCTTTATTATTATTATTATTATTATTATTATTATTATTATTTTATTATGATGTGGCTCATTCCCTTTGAGGAAACCTTGGGTTTGAAGTCTTTTGATGTACTTAGCAGTATCCACAAAGACAGTCAAATTCTTACGCGCAAAAGCACCTTTGTGGGATTCAGACATACTCTGTCTTCGTATTGTCACTATGCCGGTACATCATTTTCCTGGTTGAATCATTTCCTTTCATTCTCCTTTTTCGTTTTTCTTACCTCCGTTGTTTTGTGTTCTGCGGTCACTCTTTGCTGCATTCAACACAGGTGTTGGGGCGGGCACTGGGCGGGGTTACAGGACGTGCAGAAGTCGGTTGGGAGATGGGAGTCAGGGAGGTGTCTTTGGAAGGCGTAAACCTTGAGGGAAAACCATACGCCAAAGGTTTGCCACGTGTCATCCGGATATTTGAGGTTCATCAAGATCAAGTGACAACCATTCCTCCAGGCGCCGAATTGCTGGGTTCTTCAGGCAGAACCCCTGTGGAGATGTTTGCTGTGGGCAATCATGTTCTTGCGATACAAGGCCATCCAGAGTTCAGCAAGGAGATTGTGGAGAAGTTCATCCAGCTTCGAGTCGAAGCAGGCATAGTACCTGTAAGTTTTTCTCTTTTTTTTTTTTTCTTTTTTTTTTAACCACTGCCTTTCTTTTGCCTACTCTTACGATTCACTACTTTTTCGGCTATCTTTCCTTTTGCGTGTTGAAGTTAAAGTTGTTAAACTCAATAGGACTTCTTCTTCTTCTTCTTCTTTTTTTTTTTTTTTTTTTTTAACTCCCTTTCCCGCGTGGGAAAATAGGGAAAACTGGCAGTTTTCCCAAACTCCTGAATATTCGGAGGTCGGGCCCGATGACGACTGCCATTGATAAATCTGATCGGCAGCCGTCATTTCATTTCGGCCTTTGAAAACGTCGGACGCCTACCCGAGGCCCGCTATTTTCCCAAGCGGCAAAGGTACTAGTGGTTTAACAAAAGCTCCATCTATTGGTGGGTAGCAGCACCTGCTGGAAATCGGGTCCAGCGTCCTGTAAACATCATTGAAATAGTATTTCAGGACAACCGTTGCATGCCAACCACGCGTTTGTCGGGTAAAAACCATAAATATAATATCCGGATGACACGTGGCAAACCTTTGGTGTATCTCAAACTCCTCCCCCGGATGAAGCCGCTATCTGGCAGCAGCTGAAACTAGTCAGGGACAGCCAGGCGCCTTCACTTCGGTGTGGTTTTGAGGTTTGGACTCTGGAGGTGACGCCGTAGTTAGCTATGGCTCTTGTTTGTGCTCAACGCTTATCTTGAATTGAGTTTCAAGTCACGTTTTTCTTTTTCACATACTGTGCCATGCTTGTCACGGTTATGTGCGTATTTGCTCTGTCGTCAGTTTTTCTGCTGGCTTCGCTTTTCTTCTCATCACACGTTTGTGACGTTGACCCGGCGGGCGGGCGGGCGGGACAGGTTTCAGACGCTTAGCCCCGTGGTATAATATCGGAACTGTTGGTACTAACTCGGTAGAGATATGGAAAAAAAAAAAAAAAAAAAGTTAAAAAAACTTGGTTGAGATATCGTGTGTTTCATGAACATTGCCCTCGTGGACCTTCCTGTGAATTCCGCTCACATTCAGTTTAAGAAACCTAACTTAGACTAAATTGTAAATTGCTGAATTGTCTATACCTGGTATACCATGCTGTTAGGAAATTGTCTATACCATGCTAATAGTAAGAGTAAGTTGTGTATACCATGCTGTGTTACCTGTATGTGTTCCCAACTCTATATCGAGCGGATGCTACGACAGTATATAAGCGAACGAGGCACACCAGCTACGTCCATGAAAACACCGAAACACACCAATCTTCCAAAAAACGCCGACGTACTTCTCGAGTCGTATCCATCAAACAAGGTAGAGAGCCTACAGTAAGCTAATGAACCTAACCGTTAAGGAAGCTAGATACATTACCGTAACTGGACCGGAAACATTAAACAGAAGATTCGTCTTACACACTGGTCCGCAGGGCCTCAGTACCATTCTTTGTTCAAACTTCAACGCCAGGGTACCAACAGGGAACTGCCTACTCCCCAAGGCCCGTTTCTGCCAGCCACGAAACAGAGCTTCTCCAAGAAACCTCGAACCGTCAACCTCCGAAAATCAAGCTCATTCTAACAGGCACCGAGCCCAAGTTCAAACTTCCTTCAGACAACACCTATGCATCCGATCGTTATTAAACTTCAAATTGCTGATCATCCGTCTTGAGTTCAAAATCCTACCACACACCTTACTCAGAAAAAACAACGACAACAATTCGTACCTCACATGTCACACCTTACATCAACACCAAAAAAGACAAGTCCTGGTTCGAAACCTCACCCCGCTCGCCCTGACAGTTACTCAACTCAAAATTGCTAACCATCCGTCTTGGATTCAAGTCCTACTACACGCCTCACCCGAAACAACAATCGTACATCACATATCACACCTCACACTGATACCACATAAGACAGGTCCGGGTTCGAATCCTCATCACCCTCACCACAGCCCCCTAAAAATGCCACAAAAAAGACACTCCCAGGTTCGAGACCTCCTTCAGCACAAACCGTAGTTACCAAAAAACGTCCAACTTCGTCCTTAATCCCCTAAAACTCGTGAATGTTTTTCCCAACTCTGCTGGTGAGCCTCCAGACTCCTTTTTCTTTTTTTCTTTTTTTCTTTTCCAAATGGAAGCAGCAGCCAGCTCCTTTTTTTGTGTGTGTGTTTTGCCTCCAGACCATTTTGTTTGGGGTCATGAATGTTTTCTGTCAGTTTTGCATTCTGTCTGCATTCAGTCTGCATTCAGTCTGCCTTCATTACTAGTTAGTGTCTCAATAAGTCAAGCAAGCTCACTTACAGGTATAGCTTTGCTTTCAATGCCGGTAGCCTTCGTGTTGCCATGAAGTTTTTTTTTTTTTTTTTTTGGGTTGCCATGAAGTTTTAGACTCCATGCGCAGGTTGATTAATAATTTAATATACATTCTCAACATAATTGGACAGGTGTCAGACTGTTTATGCCTGCCTTTCTGTCTCATTGTGACAAGAAAGAATGTGTGCGCTGGTCTACCGAATGCGGATGGATTTCTTTGTACAAAAGAGCTTAGCCAAAGAAAGACGAAGAAGAAGATCAAAGAAAGGTGCAACGAAGGGCCATCCGGAACGCTGTTGTTAGCTGTAGCGCTCGTCACTTTGTTGCAGTTGAGTGAGCAGCACCTGAACACCATCCAGATCTGCCGCACTAAAGCATCCAAGACATCTCACCACCCTTTCTGTCCTTTCTGTGTGCGGGTGTGCACACCCATCCACATTAATTTTGCAAATGTGCTGTGTGTATGTGTATTGCCGAAAAGCCCACCAAGACCGTGAGCAGTTGCATGCACACACTGGCGGGGGNGTTGTTGTAGAGGCTGGCCACCAGGACTATGACAGTCCCTTCAGCAGCAGTTGGCCAATTGATCATCCAGATGACTTTTTCGATACAGGCCCCCCCCTATGAGACTCCCTCCCACCCTTAACTCATAATTGCACTGAATGCACATGTGCGCAAACCTCACTAGAAATACGAAACAAAATGAGCGAACAAGGAACAAAGAGATCACGCGCGCCGTTCAGCTTTTTCTCTCTGTCGATTTCAAACTTTTTTTTTCTCGACTCGTTTCCGTTTCCGTGTCATTCTTGAATGCGCAAGGGCCATGCTAATTAATTTTCGTCTCTGTATCGGTTCTATTTTAAAGTTTAAACCATGACTTTCCAAGACTGATAAGTGTAGACAATAATTTAACTTTATCGCCGAGCTCTATCTTCGAGGATATTCTCAAATTAATACAAAAATCATGTACCAAGTTTCAAATCTGTTTGGCCAAACAATTAAGGTCCATTCACACCGAGAATCGGAAAACCGCCAACTTTTCCCACGTTTTCCAAACTTTTTTGGGGGTCTGCGGAGGCTCAGCAGTTGGGCCTTGTGGGCCCGTTTGAAAAACAAAAAGAAAAAGAAAAACGAAAACAAAAAGAAAAACAAGTGAGGAAAGGCTGTGTACGAAGTTGTGCTCACACGAATACTCGCAAGAATGTATCTAACTACTATTGTGGCCAGTTTGAGTTTTTTTTTTTTTTTTTGGTGCCCTGCCATGGAGGCACGGTGCAGTCCACGGGGTGGCTGCTGACACTTTGTGCAGGAGGGCATGCCCACAGTACTACTTTGCAGAATGTATGAGCCCGCTTTCCCGCTCTTAAGTACAGTGGGCCTCTTTCTTCTTCCGCGGACCTCACACCCCTGCTGCCGTTACGCCCTCGCTGAGGGCGTATACTCACACAACAACTTTGGGGTTTTTAGGTATCTACCTGGTATCACGTCCAAAGCGGTGTTTGCTTTTTCTTTTTCCTTTTTGGCACGCAGTGGAAATCAGGGTCGGCAAAAACAGGCTCGGAGGTACTAGTGGTGTTGGTTTCACGGCTGTGATGTCTCGAAGGCCATCAGACTCATACAGAGCCGTGAACAAAATGTGGAATTCCAGATGCTTTGTCGTCAAGGCCAAGATCCCCGAAAAGGCATTCCCAGATTGCATTGCCGCACCCAACGGCTTCAGCTACTCTGACTATGTCGATGCACTCTGGGTAATTGTAGAAATTGCTGAGGGTCGTGAGCTTGAAACGCGGGCGCGCATTCGTCGGCGAGGCAACACAATGGAACTGCTGCTGCGGCGATTTGTGGCCGATCACCAGTTCTTAAGATCAGCCCTGCGAGGAATTGCGGTCGTTCTCTCTCATGGTGCTGACCTTGGAACTCCAACTCAGCGGTCCGTCCGACACCAAGCACGACATGTTGCGCCTTGCAAATTCGTTTCTTTTCCAAGGCATGACATGCCACGCTGTACTGGGCCAGTGCTAAATGCAGTGCGCGTCATCCCGCATCAAATTTTGGTAGTGAGTGCTACCCGTGCGGAGTGTTGCAGGTTCTTGGCAGTGTCCCGGACCGGCATCACAACATGTCGGTACCATTTGGATATTTTTTCCGCACCCCAGAATCATGCTGCCAACTCTTTGTGAATGCTCAGGGCACAATTTGCAGTCCAAATCTTTTTTTTTTTTTTTTTTTTTTTTTTTTTTTTTTTTTGTCCAAATTTTTTTTTTCTTCATGCAGTGCACAATTTTTCCCTTCTTACATTGCTTAGTGTGGAGAATTCTTATGCGGCACTGCATTTGTGTGTGTGTGTGTGTGTGTGTGTGTGTGTGTGTGTGTGTG